TTGTTTTTATAGCTATTTTTGCATTTTAATATTAAATATTGTACATTACGTTTCAACAAAACTACCATTTATTTCTGAGAACATGGAAATGTAATATTTTTGCTGAAATGATGTACGTATTACAGTGGAAAGTGGGATAAAATTGTGACGAAAGCAATGACTTTCTCTCTCTTTCGTTCAAAAGATGTTACCGTAATCGCTTTTCGAATGGTTTTCAGTTGTGGGATTATAAGGCTAATGATAGGATAGAATATTATTGTAATACAGTACGAGTACAACAGTTTTTTAACTGAAAACCATTCGAAAAGCGATTACGGTAAAATCTTTTGAATAACGAAAGAAAGCGAAAGTCATTGTTTTCATGATTTTATCCCACTTTCCACTGTAATATGTATGTCATTCCAGCAAAAATATTATATTTCCAAATTTATTTCTGAGAATACCTATATTCATTCAGTCACAGTTAAGGTAAAATATACTACGGTATCGTAGTTTTCTTTTGTTTCAAATTTAATTAAGAAAGATTGACGTTTCAAATGTAATGAACAAAAATTTATGTACAGTATCTATAAATAAACTTTAATAAATGAATACTTTGTTTTACATTGTCCTGTGCTACCATACCATGGATTTGGCTACTTTGGGCTTGCTATGATGACGCAAGAGATCTGCCCTGGCAACTGTACCGACACTCACAGCTGGTGGTGCGTTGGTGCATCGTTTCCATTGTTTACTGGTAGTTACTGGTAAATATTTTTCAACCTAACGAAACTATTACCGTATATCTCGGCCTATAAGGCGTCAGGGTGCATAAGACGGCCCCCCCCCCAAATTTCCATTTAAAAAGTAGCTTTTGAGCTCTATTCGCTGTATAAGACCAGTACCCCAAATGTGACACTTACCCACTGACTCAGTAGTCCTTTACCAACCATCCTTGGTTTTTTAAAATAAGGCCAATTCACTTCAAGTAATGTCATCAAATGTTGCCCGCTGGTGTAGTGTAAACACTAGTGACGTCACTGAAGCGTCTGCTATTTACCAGTAACTGGAACTAATGTCTGTGTCGAGTAAAGTTTTTCCATTTACTTGAAATAAATAAATAAATAAATAAATAAATAAATAAATATATATATATATATATATATATATATATATATATATATATATATATATATATATATATATATATATATATATATATATATATATATATACATATATACATACATACATACATACATACATACATACATACATACATACATACATACATACATACATACATACATACATACATACATTCATTCATACATACTACATCCTTGACCACCGAAGGGTCAAGACGTACCTGGCGCTCCTCTCGGAGCAGCCAGGTCAACTGTTAAGTTGGCCCATACCAACCCCCTCCCCTGAACCACTTCTCCCCACCGGAGTATCAACAGGTTCTCGCCAGAAGTTACAATGTCATTTGGGAAAGGAATGGAACCAGTGTTAAACAGAGGTGAACACTGGTGAACAGTGCTTGAGTCAGTGAGAACAACTCAACAGTAAAAGTCGTATTCAAGTTAACCTTCACACAGTGAGGTCCCAGGTACCCAGTGATAACGGCCCGTGAGACCCAACAACGGGCGATGTGTTAATCCGTCTACGATAGGAAGGCCTGGGGCCACACCTCACTCATATAACACCATCTGTGAGGGAATTACTACACCACGTCAAGTCCCTCATTACACCATCTGTGAGGGAATTACTACACCACGTGAGGTCCCTCATAACACCATCTGTGAAGGAATTACTACACCACGTGATGCCCCTCATAACACCATCTGTGACGGAATTACTACACCACGTCAGGTCCCTCATAACACCATCTGTGAGGGAATTACTACACCACGTCAGGCCCCTCATAACACCATCTGTGAGGGAATTACTACACCACGTCAGGTCCCTCATAACACCACTGAGGGAATTCGACACCACGTGATGCCCCTCATAACACCATCTGTGAGGGATTACACCACGTGAGGCCCCTCATAACACCATCTGTGAGGGAATTACACCACATCAGGTCCCTCCTAACACCATCTGGGAGAGAGTTACTACACTACGTGTTTGCTGTTCAACACCTACATTAATCTGAATGTTCACTGTATGTTCCTTTACCTTTCTCTAATGAAGGCTTTTGTTAAACCACCAATGTATGTAATAAGTCATTTATGTCCAATGTATATTTTCAGCCTTCGGGCTGCAGAACTTTTTCAATAAACCGCTAATTAATTACACACACACACACACACACATATATGTATATATATATGTATGTGTGTATATATATATATATATATATATATATATATATATATATATATATATATATATATATATATATATATATATATATATATATATATATATATATATATATATATATACAACAAAATATATGTACAAAAAATAAATGTTAAATGAATTATTTATGGTGCATTAGAGTACTGGTCACTTCAGACACAAAGACAGGCTATAAATAGCCTTCTTTATCTCCCCTCCATCTCACTCTGAGCCAGAGGGAAGGGGTGGTGGTAAATAACATTTGTTTGCTTATTTTCCATTTACTTGAAATAGATTTACCGAATTATTTGTTTATTTATTTAAAAGTCATTTACTGAATATTCTATGTAAAAAATAAATTTTAAATTATTTATAAGAGATACCGTAAATATATGGTATTACTGGCCACTTCAGACACAAAGACGGGATAAAAATAGCCCATCTCCCCCTCTTCTTACAGCTGCCAATGGGAAGCGTCTTGGTAATTAAATTTGATGTTTATTTTCATTGTCTAATTTATCATGTATCAAAGTAATATTACTAAAAATTGTGTAGGTAGTAGGCAGCTACCAAACAGGTAGATACTACCGCCTGGGAAGATATTGGAAGCATAATGTGTTGTCTAATGGTAGACCCTGCTGCCATATGGCATCACGAAAATTGTGACCAAGTCCCAGGTTCAGCGCTGACCTGACTTTCTGCCTCATTTACACACAATTGCAGTTTGAATTGTTCCTCTAACTTTGACAACACAACATACATACAGTATATTATTTCTCACTTTTGATCTTTTTTTTTACTTTTTGTATTTATTTATGGTTAGTTACTTAAAATAAGGCCAATTCACTTCAAGTAATGGCATCAAATGTTACCAGCTGGTGTAGTGTAAACACTAGTGACGTCACTTAAGCGTCTGTATTTAACTGTCAGTAGTTTCAAGAATTAATGCAGTCATTTACTGAATATTCCTTGTAAAAAAATAAATTTTAAATTAATTATTTATAGGAGATACCTAAGTATTATCAGTAAATATACCGATATGCATTACTGACCACCTCCACGGCTAAAAATAGCCCAATCTCGCGGTCACTTTCCCTTTCTTGTCTCCTCACTGGCAAATGGGGGGGGGGGGGGGCGTGGGGAGGGGTGTGTGATGATAGCTGTGTTTATTACAAGGGTATAATTCTCTTTTACGGTATGTTAGACAGGTTTATAATACATTTTTATTATTTTAATATACCGGTAATCTTAATTTGAATCCAGCTTGCCAAACGTAAGTTTCAGTATAAAATAATTACTGGTAGGACTTTGTGAGTGGCTTACGATGTTTCCATCACCACACTTGACACAGTAAACCACAATATTTAAGATGTAAGAATTTTATATTTGTTGCTTAAGACGGCCCCCTAACTTTGGGCAGATTTTTTTAATGTTCAAATTTCGTCTTATAAGCCGAGATATACGGTACCCGTTTAGAGGTCGACCCCCAATTTTTTGCCAAATAATTTGGTCTTAAAAACTTGAACTACACACAGGTATATACGGTAAATAAGGACATGGGGGGACCAGGTTTTTTTTGGGGCAGCAGCAGCACATATACGCGGATTTTTAACATCCACGGGTATCTCTGTTACGTAACCCCCGCGTATGTTAAGGGCCGACTGTACAGTAATTATAAATTGAGCTTTTGTATTTGTTTTTATTAATTAAAATTAATAATAATGTGTTTAAGCAAGCAATAACATATTTTAATTATGGAGTTGGGTTACGTAGAATTTAACCTACTGGAGACAGCAACTAGGGGATTCAGTAGCTTACAGGAGACCTCAACTTCACATATAGGACACAGGCTGATTTTTTTTAAGCTATTATTCAGACAAAAATGTACGTCTTACGTGCCGTAAAATATGGCAGTAAATATATGTTACTAGTATTATATCTTTTAGTGTACCTACACATTTTTGGGGATATATTTTGGTCAATTAGTTGATGCATCTTTGGGGTCATGGGACAAAACTAATCTTTCCCATATATTATGTGTTTCTATATGTATGGTTTGGCTTATGAGAGTAGTTTTCTGGAACCTAACCCCATTGATTATAAAAAAAAACACACACACCAAAAAACACGCCTTGTGCACAGACGCTGCTGGGCTTGTGAGTGGTGACGCCAGTATCACTAGTATAAATAGTCGCAGTATTTTTGTTTTCACGCATCTGAACAGGAACAGGAGAAAAACTTTCTCAGCTTACTTAGAGCATTATTGTGTCCCTATTCAGCTACTGCTACTGCTGGCTCTCCCAGACCTGCCGTTGTCCCATGATAATTCCGCGATAACCTAGATCAATCAGTTATAAGCGAACACATGGTTGCAATTGAGGATACCGTGATAAGCCAGATCAGCGATTATTGGGTCCCGTGATTATTGAGGATACATGTATTGTATACATTTCAACTAAAATCATAAAAACAAATACAAAAAAATCTTTCAATTAGTACAGAACATTTGTACAAGTCCATTTCACACACAATCTTCTACTTCCATCCATTTTTTATGATCACAGAAAATCTGGGCTGTACATAAGAAAACATCCTATTGAAGATTATATTTAATCATAAAAACTATCTTAAGGGGTATCATTAAAATACCCTTAGAGCTGTATTTGGCTTACTTTGCCTTCTCGAGGGTGTCACTTCCCAGCATCCCTCTAGTAGCTGGAGTGGACGGCATGATGTTAACAATGTAGTCACACTCTTGTAGAAACAACGGCAACTCACCAGTGTGCCTAGAAGTTGTCACAGCATTAGTTAGAAAATGGCAGACTGTATCATCCACCTTTCTAAACGTAATATGAGAACTTTCAACCCAGCCATATCAGCAAGCCTGTGTGGACCAGTCCATGATGAGTAGCCTGTGTGGACCATTCCATGTTGACTAGCTTGTGTGAACCATTTCATGATGACTAGCCTGTGTAGACCAGTCCATGATGAGTAGCCTGTGAGGACCTCTACCACCACACCCATTCTGGCTAATGGGAAGATTACTGTATCTACCCAAAATTACGAGTTAAAATATAACCCTAACATAACATATAGTTCACAGGTAGGGTATCAGTAATATCCCCACTCACCCGGGGAATTACTTGCTGCTCATTTAAAATAGGACTTATGGTAGAGTATCCGTAAAGTCGGAAATCCGCAAGCCAGGAAGTAACTGTACTGTATATTAGGTGTACCATTATACTTATTTAAAAACTGACCATATATGAGGTGTACCATTATTCTTATTTAAAACTGACTGTATATTAGGTGTACCATTATACTTATTTAAAAACTGACCGTATATGAGGTGTACCATTATTCTTATTTAAAAACTGACTGTATATGAGGTGTAGCATTATACTTATTTAAAAACTGACTGTATATTAGGTGTACCATTATAATTATTTAAAAACTGACTGTATATTAGGTGTACCATTACAGTCAACCCTCGCTTTACGTGGTCCCCCATTCCGCGTTTCCACGTTTACGTGGTACCCTGCCGAAACCGAGATGCTCACATTCCGCGGTGCGTGTACCCCTTTACGCGGAGAGTGTCTGACTCGACGCTATTTTTAGATTCGCCCCTCCCGCCTGCTCCCACCTCTGCCTGGGCAAGCCGCGCGGTAAGGTTGCGTAGTGCATGTCTCTGTTGCGTTATCAGTGACGTCATATGACGTATCGGACTGAGATTGGCCATGCATCCCTATCTCCCTCCGCTGCTAGCTGTAATTGGTTTAAAGTAATATGACGTGTCCACCCGGGGAAGGGAGGAAGGGAGGGAGGGAGGGAGGGAGGAAAGACGACGCTTGACCTAGCCGCGGCAGTTTCATCCCTCCAGGCCACACCGTGTAATCGTGCATCCATTGTTCTGTAAAATGGCTTCCGCCGGACCACCGCCCCAGAGAGAAACTTTTCCTTATCTGGACCCAGCCACCCTAAGCCAAAGAAGACACTACATTCCTTAAGCTACGAGGTGAAGTACAAGATCATCCAAGAGTTGGAGAAAGGAACAAGACAGGTTGATCTTGCGCGCCAGCATGGTCTTAACGAGTCTACGATCAGGACAATTAAGAAGGATGCAGCCAAGATAAAGGAGCACATGAACATCACAAAGTCTACAGGTGCTTCTATGATCAAGTATTGCCACAACCAGGTGCTTCTCAAGACGGAAAAATTACTTGTGAGCTACTTGGTGCGTCAGGCGCGACGGAACATGGCGGTGGACACGCTCTCTGTTAAGGAGTACGCACGTGAACTGTATGCTGCAGTGTCACGAAAGATAGGAATTACAGAGCCCAAACCCTTTAATGCTTCCTCTGGGTGGTTACAGAGGTTTAAGAAGAGAAACAAGATCACCAATATCAACATTGGTGGTGAAGAAGCGAGTGCTGACCGTGTTGCGGCTAGAGAATTTCCTCCGTTTTTACCTGAGATTATGGAGGAAGGACAGTACACCGACGACCAGGTGTTTAACATGGACGAATCTGGTCTTTTTTGGAAAAAGCTACCTTCCAAGACCTTCGTTGTGAAGAATGCCAGCAAGATTCGGGGCCGGAAGTTGCAGAAGGAGCGCATCACCGTCCAGTTTACCACCAATGCCTCCGGTACCTGTAAGCTCAAGTTATCGGTGATCCACACAGCCCGCAAGCCGCACGCCTACAAGAGCATGGACATGACCAAGCTAAATGTCCACTGGCTGACCGCACGTAAGGCGTGGATGTTCTCTACACTGTCCCTCTCCTGGTTTGATGACTGTTTCGTTCCCGATGTGAAGAAATTCTGTGAGCAACAGAATGTGCCATTCGAGATTTTGTTGCTGCTGGACAACGCACCAGGACACTCGCCCCTACTGTTAGATCGTCACCCCAACGTAAAAGTGGTCTTCCTTCCTCCCAACACTACGTCTATATTACAGCCCATGGACCAAGAGTTAATCTGTAATGTAAAAGCTTCATTCTCTACTAAAAAATTCAAGCTCCTGAACGACTACACCAACACCAGGGAAGAGTTGCGTAACCTGAGTGACACCAACACCAATAGCAAGAGCGAAGACGACGAAGATCAACAGTTGGCAGAGCAAGAAGTACTTTTAAAACAATTCTGGAGAATATTCAATGTCAAGTAAGCTGTGGACTTCTTGGTGGAGGCATGGGATCAGCTGTCTGTAGCAACTGTTCATCATGCATGGAGACATGTGTTGCAAGGCATTCCGGGCATTAGGCAGAGTCAATCTGTGACTGGTGAGGTTCAGACTGTTGCAGTAGCAGTGGACCTTGCCAGAGAAGCTGCGCAGAGTGTTACAGCTGCAGGCTTCTCCGAGACCACCAACGACGACATCCTGGAGGTGATAAGGGATCCTGATGTGACTACCGACGACATGGTAGATGATGATGACGTCAGTGAAGAGGCAGGTGGTGTGTCATCCCAAGAAGAACGCCGCTTATCCCATAGTAATGTTAGGGGTGCCATCGAGTGTATCGAGAAAGTCAAGCTCCTCCTTTCCGACGACCCTGACGCAAACAGGTATGAAATCTTCACTACCCAGCTGTTGCAGACTATGGAGCCCTACTTCAAGGTTTATCACGACAACATAAACACCAGCCGTCAGCAAAGCATAACAGAGTTCTTCGCCCGCAACCCACCACAGCCAGCCCAAGCCAGTGATAGTGACAGAGGTAGAGATAGTGATGATGACTTTGAGGGATTTGTCAGGGAGGCCCTGACAAATGTGGATGACAGTGATAGTGACTCACCTGAGGGCCAGTAGCCTGCCCTCTGCCTCGGAACCAGCCACCATTCCCGTACGCCGACCCATCTCCTCTACTAACGTAAGTGTTAACCCCAACCTTTATTTTTCCTAACTTAACCTTTATTTTTCCTAACCTAACCTCTTCTATATTAATTGTGTGTGCATACCATCATAAGTTAAGATAATATTTTTACTACAACATAGTTGTGTGTCGTCAAAAAGTGGAGTTTGGGGGCTCGGCCCGGTCTCTATTTCAATTAATCCCATATGCTATGTTGTTCCCTTTACGCGTTTCTCACTTTCTGCGGTACCCTGTGGGTTGAATTAACCACATAAAGTGAGGGTTCACTGTATACTTATTTAAAAACTGACTGTATATGAGGTGTACCATTATACTTATTTAAACACTGACTGTATATGAGGTGTACCATTATACTTATTTAAAAACTGACTGTATATGAGGTGTACCATTATAATTATTTAAAAATTGCTTAAGTTTAATAAAATTTTGGGTATGTAATTTTTTCTTTTGTGAGGCAATTTCATTTTGAAGGGATAATTCAGTATTTAGTGCTAATTTGATCTATCAGGGTCCCAATGACATCTCCTAAGCAAGGGTTCAGTGGAGTTAACAAAATATTCCTTCACTCTTCAGACCATATCACTAAATTTGACTGCACTAAATTATTGTTCAGTATCATATAAGGTATTATCAACTGTTTTCATGATATGTAAAACCTGCCTTTATTTGAACAAAAGCACAAAATATAAGCACTTCTTCATAACTACTTACCAGTACTTGTCGACACTGTTACACTCGTCACCCTCTGAGGGAGCAGTGCGGGTGAAGGCTTGCACTCTGGTACTGAAGGCCTTTAAACTCTTGGCAACTGTAAAATAAAATATAAATATAAATCAAAGGATAATTAATGGTACAGTATGGCCGGATAATTCATGGATTTTTATTTTGCGGTCCTCTATTATTTGTGGATGACACCCTGGATGTACCCGAATGTCTAAGGGTAGTTTTAAAGTTGCTAGCATTTTCGTGGCCAGGACAGGGAGCCATTTGATCTAGGGATAGTAATTTCCTTTACCAGTATTATATATATATATATATATATATATATATATATATACCGTATATACTCGTCTATAACCCCCCTTCGTATATGGGTCGACCCCGATTTTTGGACCAAGAAATCGTTAATTTATGATATTCCTCGTTTATAGGTCGACCCAAGTTTTTGAGGGTAAAGGAACAACAAAACCTTCAGATAAACACTACGTCCTATAAACTTGTTTACCATTTATTATTACGACACTTTACACTGAAACGCGGGTAGTTTCAACAAAAATATTGTATATTTCCATTCAAGTATTTATTCAAGTCAATTAGGAGGGAATATTATTGTAATACAATAGTTTTTTAACTGAAAACCATTCGAAAAGCGATTACGGTAACATATTTTGAACGAAAGAAAGCAAGTCATTGTTTTCGTCACAATTTTATCCCACTTTCCACTGTAATACGTACGTCATTTCAGCAAAAATTATTACATTTCCGTGAATGTATTATATGAACCACAGTATGAATAGAATATCACTAATATAACAGTATTTTAACCGAAAACTATTAAAAAAACGAGTAACATATCTTGAACATCGGAAGGTTAGGTAAAGTCTTTTGTTTCCATCATGTAGTTTATCCTAATTTACATTGAAATACATCACGTTTCAGCAAAACCACTATTTATTTCTGAGAATATGGAAATGTAATATTTTTGCTGAAATGACGTACGTATTATAGTGGAAAAAGGGATAAAATCGTGACGTTGAAAAGATGTTAAATCGCTTTTCGAATGGTTTTCAGTTAAAAACTGTTGTATTACAATAATATTCTATCCTAATTCACTTGTGATGTAACAGTTTTTTAACTGAAAACGATTCGAAAAACACGTGTACCATCTAGCTGATACGGCAGAGACCTGGTCGCGGAGGCTTTGTGTTTGCATCGGCCCTTCTTAAGCAGCTTTTAATATTAGCGTACGTTGAAATTGTGTTTACCGGTATATTCTTATTTTCTTGCTTCTTATTTTCCAGAAATATGACAAGTTTGTATATAATACAATGTTACGGTACTTTTAATTTACAAGTATTCATTTTTAAAAATACAGAAGACACCAAACAAATACCAGTACTACGGTTATTTGCGTGACTCTCCCGCCAAAAAAGACCAAACAGCTGGTACTCTCTCCCTCAGCCCTACCAAAAATAGCCCAACGACATCTTTCTTGTTTATTCTCTTCCAATTTCTCACTTTAACTGGTATTTTTTACTTCATATTGCCTACATCAGATAAACTACAGTAATTGAGGTTAGACACTGTTATAAATTTTTATACCGGGTAACTTCATATTGCCTACATCAGATAAACTACAGTAATTGAGGTTAGACACTGTTATAAATTTGATTACCGGGTCCTGGCAGGTGCCATTAGAGCCACCTGACCCTACCAACAGTGTTGCAAGTCAGACAGCATTTTTTTAATCATCCATGTGCACGAGAAAGGATGGATGGATGAAGGCGGCATACAAATATGGCTTAAAAAAGTCTGGAACTTTAGACCAGGGGGACTGTGCAAAGAAAAAAGTCTTTTTGCGTGGGATATGTTTCGGTCACATTTTGTTGACAGTGTTACTGCTGGGATTAGGAAGGAAAACACTGATACAGCTGTGATTCCTGGTGGATTAACAAGTCTTGTCCAACCACTGGATGTTTCCATAAACAAACCATTTAAAGATGAGGTAAGAGTGAAGTGGAACAACTGGATGATAGAAGGCGATAAGACATACACAAAGGGAGGCAACATCCAAGCTCCATCACTAGCAACATTATGTGAATGGATTGTAGAGGCCTGGGATGCAATCAGACCAGAAATTGTGGTGAAATCTTTTAAGAAATGTGGGATTTCGAATGCTCTTGATGGAACAGAAGACGACTTGTTGTGGGATTATGAGGCTAATGAGAGCATGAATGAGGATGAAGATATTGATGATCCTATGGCTGATGATGGTGTTGATCCATATGACGATGCTGTTCAAGGAGAGGACTGGGAGGAGCTGTTTGGTGCTGCAGATGATGACAAGGAAAATGATTTTGATGGATTTTAATGAAAATATTCAGAAATATGGTATCGTAGTATTTATTCAAGTCAATTAGGATAGAATATTATTGTAATACAACAGTTTTTTAACTGAAAACCATTCAAAAAGCGATTACGGTAAAATCTTTTGAACGACAAAAGAAAGTGAGTCATTGTTTTCGTCACAATTTTATCCCACTTTCCACTGTAATACGTACGTCATTTCAGCAAAAATATTACATTTCCATACTGTATTTATTTCTGAGAATATATTCATTCAGGCACAGTTAAGGTAAAATATACTGTACTTGTGATGTAATATTTTAATGAAAATATTTATAAATAAGGTATCGTATTTTTCTTTTGTTTCAAATTTAATTAACAAAAATTTATGTATCTATAAATAAACTTTTAAAAATGAATACTTTATGTTTTACATACTCCTGTGCACACCATACCATGCATTTGGCTACTTTGGGCTTGCTATGATGACGCAAGAGATCTGCCCTGGCAACTGTACCGACACTCACAGCGGGTGGTGCGTTGGTGCGTCGTTTCCATTGTTTACTGGTAAATATTTTTCAACCTAACGAAACTATTACCCGTATAGAGGTCGACCCCCAACTTTTTGCCAAAAAATTTGGTCTTAAGAACTCGTGCTATACATGGGTATATACGGTATGTGTGTGTGTGTGTATGTGTGGTCAAACACACAAATAAATAATAATGGGAAAAATCCTCTCACAGATAATCAGAAAAAAATTATTAAAAATGTTGAGTCTTCCCTCATGTGTACTCTGTGCTTTATTAATAACAAAGCACAGAGTGGACTTGAGGGTAGACTCAATATTTTGAATAAATTTCTTTCTGATTGTACTGTATATGTGTACAGTATTGTATTGTGTGTGTGTGTGTGTGTGTAGATGCACACACACATACAAATAAATAATAATGGGAAAATCCTCTCACAAATAATCAGAAAAAATTAAGTATTAAAAATGTTGAGTCTACCCTCAAGTCCATTCCGTGCTTTATATTAATAGAGCACTGAGTAGACTTGAGGGTAAACTCAACATTTGTAAAAAAAATTTTGCCGATTATTTGTAAGAAGATTTTCCAACTATTATTTATTTGTATATGTGTGTATGTGTACACACACACACACCCATGCTTCGCTGCCATACAGCAGGGTGGGGAGGACCACTGCTCGATATACATGTAACTTTGAAGATAATTTCAGCTCCCTACAGCTGAAGAAATGGGTACGGAGATTGCCAAAGGCTTGAGTTGCACTCTAATGGGAAACATTACAGAGGGTAATACTACTAAACTGGATGGATGGTGGAGGTGTGGCTGAACCAGGGGCAGGTTGAAAGAGAATCTGAGTTTTGCATACATTCACCTCGATGCTGAAGTGTGCATACACATTTGCGTAGGAGTTTAGGATCTCCTGTAGGTCGCGTTCAGTGTGAGCGACAAGGGTGAGGTCGTCTGCATACTGAAGTTTAGTAATGGAAGCTGCCAACACCTTTGTTCCTGCCTGGAGTCGTCTTATATTGAGAAGACCCTTCATATGGTACACGATGTCCACCCCGCAGGCTAAATCGGCACTGGCACGAGTAAGGAAGGCAGCCAAGAAAATGGAAGAGAGAGTTGGTGTTAGTACACACCCTTGTTTAACCCCTGTTTGGATGGGGAAGAACTCAGACTGGGTGCCATTGTGCAGGACAATGCCGTTCATGCCATCGTGGAGTTGCCTCACAATGGCGATGAATTTTGGTGGCCAGCCAAAACAGCTGAGGGTCCACGAGAGGGCTTCACTGTTGACTGAGTCAAAGGCCTTGGTTAGGTCAATGAAGGCCATGTACCGGTCACGACGCTGTTCTCTGCACTTTTCCTGTATCTGGCGGGCAGCAAAGATCATGTCAGTCGTGCCAAGTGATGGTATAAAGCCACATTGAGATTCTGGGAGGAAGTTTTCCGCCTCAGGAAGAAGTCTGTTTTGGAGGACTCGGGCAGCAAGATCCCGCAGTTGTTGCCACAGTCTGACCGGTCTCCCCTGTTCTTGTAAATATTGACAATGGAGGCATCTTTAAGACCTTGGGGGATTTCCTCCTTTTCCCATATATTCTCCAGGAGAGAGTGGAGATGGCTGGTAAGCAGAGGTCCTCCTGCTTTATACATCTCTGCTGGGATTCCATCAGGTCCTAAGGCTTTGTTATTTTTCATCTGTTTGATGGCAGTAGCTACCTCATCCAGGATGGAGGATAACTGAGGACGGTCAGTTCTGGACGCTGAGGGACCTGCTGGGTAGTCAGCACATCCACATCTGTGTTTTGGTTGAGCAGTGAATGGCAGTGCTCTTTCCAGTGCTGAAGGATGCCTTCAACATCTTTAATTAGGGAGTTACCGTCAGGTGTGCGAAGGGGGGCTGCACCATGAGTGATTGGCCCATAAAATGTTTTAGTGGAATTCAAAAGTTCACGCATCTTGTGCTGATCTGCAAATTTTTGTGTTTCACATGCTTCTTTTTTTATTTATTTTTTTATCATATTCACCATTTATCAGCTTACTAGCTGTTTGGGCAGTTTATCCAGTGTTAGTACAGGAGGAAACCGGGGACCAGGAAACCTGTGGTGTTTGGTAGGTTCACACTGGATAGCACCCTTCTCACATGTGTCTGGGCTGAAGCTTGAACCCTTGACATATTGGTGAGAGTTTAGCGCGTTACCGCTGTACCAGTCGTTCTTTAGATTGCGAAGTTAGTGCTGGGCCGGTGCTTTCTTTTTGTGGAAGGTATCATCTTTGGTCCGAGACTGAGGGTTGTTCTGCCAGTCAGTTAAAGCAGCACGTTTATCATCGACGAGTACATTGATTGCCGGGCCATTTTCATCAAATCAGTCCAGGTGTATTCTTTCGATCTGGTCGAGTGTCTCTTTGCAGGTTTTTGTCATGACAGTGTCGAGAATATCCCATTCGGCACTTGGGTTTGGGTTGTTTGTTTTCGGGTTGTTCATCAGCCCAGGTTCGAGCTGCTCTCTGAAAGCACGTGCTACCACTGGATCCTCCAGATGCTTAGTGTTAAAACCTCTTCTGGAGGATTGTTGCCTTCACCGTTTTGGGGTGATGTGAAGTGAGAGCTTGGCTCTGACGAGCCGATCATCAGTGTCGCAGTGGCTTGAGTCATGTATGGCTCGGGTGATGAGGACATCACGGTGATCTCTTTCTCTGACAATGATGTAGTGAATGAGATGCCAGTGTTTACACACACACTGAGTCAAGCAAGCAAGCATGCATGCATGCATGCATGCACACACACACACAGAGTCAGGCACCACATGTAGTATACACACACACACTGAGTCAGGCACCACGTGTTGTACACACACACTGAGTCAAGCACCACATGTTATACACACACTGAGTCAAGCACCACATGTTATACACACACTGAGTCACGTACCACATGTTATACACACACTGAGTCAAGCACCACATGTTATACACACACTGAGTCAAGCACCACATGTTATACACACACTGAGTCAAGCACCACATGTTATACACACACTGAGTCAAGCACCACATGTTATACACACACTGAGTCAAGCACCACATGTTATACACACACTGAGTCAAGCACCACATGTTATACACACACTGAGTCAAGCACCACATGTTATACACACACTGAGTCAAGCACCACATGTTATACACACACTGAGTCAAGTACCACATGTTATACACACACTGAGTCAAGCACCACATGTTATACACACACATATTAGTTGGTGTGCAATAAATGTTCAAAATGGCCACCTTCAGCTTGGATATACATTTTAGCTCATGGTAACATTGAATGATTACCCCTACCAACAACACCAGGGTCGTTTGTATGCATTTTGCATCATCTGTAATTCAATGAAACAGTTCATCTCCTACAGTACTGTAGATTAATTTTTAAACGTACACCATTTTGAACATTTATCATCGAGTAAAATATACATATGTAGCATTTATGCAATTAACTATTTTAATTACAATATAGTATGTGCAAATTACTCTTTAGCTTGAAATTACCATACTGTGGTTATGTAACCGTTGAGAATCACACCCAAATTCATAAAGCATTCTTAATTGGAAATAACCTCATAAATAAACTCCTGAGACACTGTATTAACATAAAGTCATGAACTATCACCCCAAAGGTGCCTCTCATAGTGTTGTATAGTGACAATCTCTATGTAGTACACTGACAAACCTCTCACAGTGTAGTATAGTGACAACCTTTCAGTGAAGTATAGTGACCTCTCAGTGTAGTAGTGTCAACCTCTCAGTATACAATAGTGTAATGATCTCCCATAGTATATAATGACACTCAGTGTAGTATAGTGTCAACCTCTCAGCGTAGTATATAGTGACCTCTCAGTATACTATAGTGTAATGACCTCCCATAGTATATAATGACACTCGGTGTAGTATAGTGACAACCTCTCAGTCTAGTAGTGACAATCTCTCAAGTGCAGTAAAATGAAAACCTCTCAGTGTATAGGAACAACCTCTCAGTGTATAGCAACAATCTCTCAGTGTATAGGAACAACCTCTCAGTGTAGTATTGTGACAACCTCTCAGTGTATAGGAACAATCTCTCAGTGTATAGGAACAACCTCTCAGTGTAGTATTGTGACAACCTCTCAGTGTATAGGAACAACCTCTCAGTGTATAGGAACAACCTCTCAGTGTATAGGAACAACCTCTCTGTGTAGTATTGTGACAACCTCTCAGTGTATAGCAACAATCTCTCAGTGTATAGGAACAACCTCTCTTTGTAGTATTGTGACAACCTCTCAGTGTATTGTGACAACCTCTCAGTGTATAGCCAACAACCTCTCAGTGTATAGGAACAACCTCTCTTTGTAGTATTGTGACAACCTCTCAGTGTATAGCAACAATCTCTCAGTGTATAGTAACAGCCTCTCTGTGTAGTATTGTGACAACCTCTCAGTGTATAGCAACAATCTCTCAGTGAATAGGAACAACCTCTCAGTGTATAGGAACAACCTCTCTGTGTAGTATTGTGACAACCTCTCAGTGAATAGGAACAATCTCTCAGTGTATAGGAACAGCCTCTCTTTGTAGTATTGTGACAACCTCTCAGTGTATAGCAACAATCTCTCAGTGTAGAGTAACAACCTCTCAGTGTATAGGAACAGCCTCTCTTTGTAGTATTGTGACAACCTCTCAGTGTATAGGAACAATCTCTCAGTGTATAGGAACAGCCTCTCTTTGTAGTATTGTGACAACCTCTCAGTGTATAGCAACAATCTCTCAGTGTATAGTAACAACCTCTCTGTGTAGTATTGTGACAACCTCTCAGTGTATAGCAACAATCTCTCAGTGAATAGGAACAACCTCTCTTTGTAGTATTTTGACAACCTCTCTGCGTAGTATTGTGACAACCTCTCAGTGTATAGCAACAATCTCTCAGTGTATAGGAACAACCTCTCTTTGTAGTATTTTGACAACCTCTCAGTGTATTGTGACAACCTCTCAGTGTATAGCAACAACCTCTCAGTGTATAGGAACAACCTCTCTTTGTAGTATTGTGACAACCTCTCAGTGTATAGCAACAATCTCTCAGTGTATAGTAACAGCCTCTCTGTGTAGTATTGTGACAACCTCTCAGTGTATAGCAACAACCTCTCAGTGTATAGGAACAACCTCTCTTTGTAGTATTGTGACAACCTCTCAGTGTATTGTGACAACCTCTCAGTGTATAGCAACAACCTCTCAGTGTATAGGAACAACCTCTCTTTGTAGTATTGTGACAACCTCTCAGTGTATAGCAACAACCTCTCAGTGTATAGTAACAGCCTCTCTGTGTAGTATTGTGACAACCTCTCAGTGTATAGGAACAACCTCTCTTTGTAGTATTGTGACAACCTCTCAGTGTGTAGTAACAACCTCTCTGTGTATAGTAACAACCTCTCTGTGTAGTATTGTGACAACCTCTCAGTGTATAGGAACAACCTCTCTTTGTAGTATTGTGACAACCTCTCAGTGTATAGCAACAATCTCTCAGTGTATAGTAACAACCTCTCTGTGTAGTATAATGACAACCTCTCAGTATAGTATAGTGACAAACTCTCATAGTATATAGTGACACTCGGTGTAGTATAGTGACAACCTCTCTTTGTAGTACAGTGACAACCTCTCAGTGTATAGTAACAACCTCTATTTGTAGTATAGTGACCTCTCAGTGTATAGCAACAATCTCTCAGTGTATAGTAACAACCTCTCTTTGTAGTATAGTGACAACCTCTCAGTGTATAGTAACAACCTCTCTTTGTAGTATAGTGACAACCTCTCAGTGTATAGTAACAACCTCTCTTTGTAGTATAGTGACCTCTCAGTGTATAGCGACAATCTCTCAGTGTATAGGAACAACCTCTCTGTGTAGTATAGTGACAACCTCTCAGTGTATAGTGATAACATCTCAATGTAGCATGACATCCTCTCCGTGTAATATTATGGACAATCTCTCAGTGTAGTATAGTGACATCTCATAGTATAGTAAACTCAGTGTAAAATGGTGACCTCTCAGTATAGTATAATGACAACATCTCAACACTATTTGTTAAACATCCTTTTATGGTAAAATCATCTCAAGTTTAGTGATTTGTAGTCTCATCAATATTTGCTGCCTCACGATGATTTGTTGTCTATGACTTGTTGTCCCACCACGACCAGCATTGCACAACTGGTTACTGTATTTATGTATCATCAGGTGTTGTAATGGCAACTGGTGAGGAATAAAACGTGTTTATTAAGTATTTGGGAACACGTTAAGGCCTCCACACTCACCCTCTTTGCCAATCTTCCCCATACCCAGGATGCCAACTGTCATCTCGCAAAGGCTTCGATAGTTGATGATGATGTCTTTCTGTACCCATTCACTTTTACGCTGTTAAAATAATGATAAATACACTTGAGAAAATTCCCAATAAAATTATCATGCATTTTTTCCAGTTATCTCAATATATGATTCCACCAACTGTACTCACTAACAACATGGCTGGATTTATACCACATCTGAAATATATCATACAGGTCTTCCTAGTACTGCAAAGCTCTGTAGTGCGACCTACCAACCGTTAACTTCCTTGTAGTGCCACCTACCAGTAGGTAACTTCCTTGTAGTGCCACCTACCAGTAGGTAACTTCCTTGTAGTGCCACCTACCAGTAGGTAACTTCCTTGTAGTGCCACCTACCAGTAGGTAACTTCCTTGTAGTGCCACCTACCAATAGTTAACTTCCTCACAGTGCCACCCACCAATAGTCAACTTCCTCACAGTGCGACCTACCAATAGTTAACTTCCTCACAGTACGACCTACCAGTAGTTAACTTCCTCACAGTCCACCCACCAATAATGAACTTCCTCACAGTCCACCCACCAATAGTTAACTTCCTCACAGTACGACCTACACATAGTTAACTTCCTCACAGTACGACCTAGACATAGTTAACATCCTCACAGTATGACCTACCAATAGTTAACTTCCTCTCAGTCCACCCACCAATAGTTAACTTCCTCACAGTACGACCTACAAATAGTTAACTTCCTCACAGTATGACCTACCAATAGTTAACTTCCTCACAGTCCACCCACCAATAGTTAACTTCCTCACAGTACGACCTACAAATAGTTAACTTCCTCACAGTACGATCTACCAATAGTTAACTTCCTCACAGTCCACCCACCAATAGTTAACTTCCACACAGTACAACCTACAAATAGTTAACTTCCTCACAGTACGACCTACTGTAATGACCACGGTCTTACACGTCAGTTAGCGCCAAAAATCAAATGATTCATATTACGCTTAATAGCCCACAAAACATGTAACTCGGCTTTCGTTTGAGTCCTCCATCTGAGGAGTCCGTTTTCTCATCACTTCAAGACACCTCAGTCCTCCGTTATCCCATTTTCTCTGACTTACTGAAACCAACCTCTCTATAAAATGAATTTGGGTGTGAGAGAGAACACCCTTGTTTTGAGTCAACTTAGATATGTCTGTTTACAGTTGGAACATTCAAGATCCATTGTGAGTGGGGTAGAATGCTTCAACTGTCCTTATCGTTAGTAGAACGTGTCAAGTAAGTGAGTGTCGAGTTTGCCAGCTAGAGTGGCGTATTTTATGTCGTCCGTGGGGGTATCCATGAGTTTCTGATCGCGCCTGAAGTTATATCATTTTGTCGCCCCGACATCAGAGAATCTGATGTTTATAGTTTAATTAGTGTCAGTTGTCTATTTGAGAAAGTCATTAATCTCCTGAACTATTCTGTCAACTGGTATAATCTCCAAGATCTAGCGCCTCCCCGTGAATAGCCCCTTGTTCGCCTCAGACCTAAGCTTGCAGAATTAATGTTATCGACGTGTATATTCCACCTTTTCCTGGCAAGCTCAACCTCTGATTAGATTATATGAATAGACATAGGAAATTACCCTGATCAAGAACACCGGAGTTCATAACTAAGTATACAGTGATCCAAAATGATAGAGAAGTTATGTTGTTGGTAAGATCGACCCTTCTGGTATGAATATGGAGGCCCAAGCTGCCCGCGAGTGCACGTATATACCTCGACACGAGGGAGAATCACGCATTCGTGACTTCCTCAACGTCTCTCCAGGTATGTTAACGTGTGTTCCCGCCGCCTATTAATTCAGTTTAACTTAGTCAATTTTGGTGAATATCAGTGCTCATGTGTTAACATAGTGAATTCTGTGCCAATTAAGTCGAGTAACGTAGAGATTTAGATATTGTCTGAACCGTTGCCAGGCGTATGTTTTGTATAGTTGAAGTTAGACCTTTAGGCATTCGTGACTTCCTCAACGTCTCTCCAGTGTGTTGAGCTGAATACTCATCGGCTAACGTGGGGCGGTAACCGGGTTGGACGATGCCGTTAATTCGACAGGACTGAACTGGGAAGTCCGTTTCCTGCAAATCAGGCGCCCACTCCCTGAGCATGTGTCGGTCTACAACCGACCCCTAACAGCGATCTTCATTTGTTGTAGAGACCAGCGTTACCCTGGGGCACTCCTCACAGTCACATAGGCCTAAGTATTATGGTACCTTGTTTGGGGGATAACTAGCAGAAATATAGTATCCCAGGTTAAGTATTGAACCACTGAATGAGAGTTAAAAGTGCCATGTTGTTCCTTGTGAATTAACAGGAGGTATTGTATGTTGAGATAATTGTGGAGTTGTTCAGTGTGCTATGTATTCATTGGTAGTGACCATGAAATGATAATCTGAGAGTATAATGATATAACCAAGAAGTGAAGAGTTAATTTGCTACTTGGTAAGGTAAGACCTGAGGGTCCAGTGATATCTGGTGTATACCCAGTACTGACTATCATGTGGCAGAGTGACAATACCACAATTGTCGATTGAAGTAATAAGAATTTGGAGGTATTTAATGAGGTAATAAGTTCTTGAAGTGTTTGATGACTTAATAAATAAATTGCAGTTCTGTTTTGTCTGAGTGAATCTAAGATGCATCTTATCCAATCACTGTGTTAATAAATATTGAATTAGTAATCTACGAGTATCACCACTCTATCCTTTCCCACATTGGTTCTCAGAAAATAACTAACTCACGTGCCTAGAAGCTCGCTACCTAACAGTTAACTAAGAGGTGTTATATTCTAGAAAAATCCTGGGTGGTGGCAGGCTACCGTTGTAAGTATAATAAGTGTGGTAATAACAAAGACATGGTTTCCCAGGTTAATCCATGGTTTAGAATATAACTAGAACCAAATATATGGAAGAGATCATAATATATGACAGGAAATGAAAAGAAAGAACATTGACTTGGAAAACATAAGCAGAGAAGCATAAGAGTTATATATAGATAAGAATATATAAGAATATAAGGTATATAGAGATAAAGAATTGAAGAAGGATAAGTATATAAAACAGGATACTCATTGAAAAGAATAACTGGATGGTAAATTATTGAAAAGAGGAAACTCGGCTCGTTACACTACAAATAGTTAACTTCCTCACAGTAGGACCTAGAAATAGTTAACTTCCTCACAGTGCGACCCACCAATAGTTAACTTCCTCACAGTAGGACCTACACATAGTTAACATCCTCACAGTACGACCTACAAATAGTTAACTTCCTCACAGTGCGACCCACCAATAGTTAACTTCCTCACAGTACGACCTACACATAGTTAACTTCCTCACAGTGCCACCTACCACTTTAAAAGATAGAAGAAATCAGGAAGAATGAGCATTACCTGATACTGCAGAGAAGCCAGCCAGCTCCTCTCATGAAAGATGATCCAGCCCACTATGTACTCTGCCATGAGCTGACTAAAATGTTCACTAGTCATGCGTGTGACTGGATATGAAGGCTTTGGCTGCAAAAATAAGTACAGTACAGGTTAGGGTGTGACCGTTGCCCTCCAAAAATAAAAAAATAGTCCTACAATGCTGTTCAAAGTTTTAGTGTTGTGTATTTATCTAGGAAACACCCCTGTAAATTTTCTTGGGGATCGGTGCATGTTTGAGCTAGCACCGTCGGCTTTACAAAATAACAAGGAATATTATTATCTAATGAACAAATTTAGTGGAATTTCTTTTATTAGACTTATAAGATATACTAACACAAAGCAAATGATCGATCATATCAATCTTAATACCCCTAAAACAATATTATAGATTAGTACAAAATACAATAATCCCAATAATTGCATTTCTAGGTTCAAGACCCATTTCTCTCACCTGGCGTACAATGAAAAAAAGAAATACTACTACCCCGCAATGTCTGAAGTGTTTGAGGAGCGCCAGCAGATGGCCGACTTCTTTCGTGAATCTCTAGCCCAACCATTTACACGTGGCGACTACAAGGAGCTGGTAGAGCTTTGTCTGCTGCTTGTAACTAAAGGATCCGAGCCAGTGAACTTCACGATGGTCTACCCCGGCGCACCTCACAAAGCAAGGTGGATGGCTAAACTGCTCTAAACCCTCAAGATTGTTCTTTTGTCAGGCCAGATCAAAGAGCAGTTTCCCAAAGCCGTGGTTGTGACTAAAAGTCAAATCAGCAAGTTAGAACGGTTTGCTGTGTTCACAGTCGCTGTTTATGTCCCATGGTGGATTGTTTGCCCCGTTCCAGCAAGTGCGCCACTGAATGACTTGAATTTGGTCGAAACCTTGGCTGAATTTGCCCCATATGACGCCACAATAGTTGACAGAGCACATGTGGCACTCGGTAGACACACTTGGTACCTAACTGAGGAGTTGGCCCCACTGGCTTTGTTCTCGTCCCAAGTACAAGAAAAGACAAAAGAGGAGATGAGGAAGGCCCTTCTTTGCCATGAAGGCACTGAAGTTACTAAGAGAGTGGCGCTCAATCATGGGGGCTATGGAAAGCCATATCTTCCCCCTGTCCCAGAAAGTGGCACTGCCCTGGTGGACCTAATTGGGCCTGACTCAAGCCTGTTCTTCACCATTTTAGGCATGCCCTATCAGTTTCTCCAAAGTCCAGCCAGTGAATGGGCGGATCACGAAGACTACCTGAACATGAAACGGGTTGTGGACAAGTTCAGGTCGTCGATGAGGCTGCAGAGCGTGGTGTAGAACTTTGCCATGACTTTCTTAATGTTGCCAGGGATGAGGAGCGCTTTCAAGAAGTCCTTCAAGTAGTTGAAAATGACAGACTCCGCATTCCTAATCAGCGCAAACGATCATCTGTTTCCCAACAGAAATCATGGTTGCTTGCTCTCGAGAAATAATACCTTGTGAATATATGATAAAACCCCTTAATGTACCATGAGAGAATAAGTATAAATAACTTTTTTGTGTTAGTGATAACAGCTTTTAATTAAGACAGGCAAATGATTTGTGTTAATATCCCTTATGATGGTTGTGTAATCTCATATATAGGCGCGTATGCCATATAAGCAAATCACTATTTTTCAAATTGCTGGAGCTCACTCAAATATGCATGAATCTTCAAAAAATTGCACGTGGGTATTTTTTAATGTCAATATGCAACACCAAAATTTTGAACAGCATTGTAGGGCAAAGTTGGGGCAACTGTCACACCCTAGTACAGGTATAAATTGACTGGTCAGAGTGCTACAGTATTTTAGGTTCTCAAGTTTATGATTTGTATTAAATATAAAGATGGGAGTCAGTTAATAAGGTATCCAAAAAATTTTGTAGGACAGTTTCTGATCTGAGGACCTTTTTTTATGGACAACTTGCAGTAAAACTAAAAAAAAAAAAAAAAAAAAAAAGAATGGCTGGAATTCCCACAGCTTTGTTGTGAGTGTAGTGGAGAATTTGGATGTTCGAGTGGTGAGCATTTGGTTGTGAGTGTGGTAGACTGGTAGACACATTGGTTGTAAGTGTGTTACACAGTAGTAGACATATTGGTTGTGTGATAGACTGTGGTGGACATTTGCACACAATCAGTTTTGCACAGTATACAGGTATATATAACTATTTCATGCACACACCCACACAGTGGCAGATCCAGGGGGGGGGGGGTTACATACCCCCAAGCAATGCAAATACAAGTACTAGTAGTTTCATCATCTGATATCTACGCCGCCTATAATCACACTATATTACACTTTGTTAAACACAAACAGCTGAGGTTACTAAGAGAAGATAAAAGACAGAAATACAATACCCGATAATGTAGGGGAAACTAATAAGGTACGGGAATGTACCGTATAAACATTACAGCACTGCATTAAAAAGTTTGTGACACAAAAACATTATATATTTAACAAATTGTTATTAAGTTTGACACCTATAGCAGTTAAACTTGAAAAACAGCAAATTAAGCATATCATCATCACTTAGGTCAAACACAGTCTTATCATCTTACTAACCAACATTTATATATCTCTCCATACCTTATCCTTATAATGGTCCACCATATACTCTACACCGGCCCATGTTCCTTGTACCCACTGTAGTTGTGGTAATCTGTCTGTCACCTGATGTAGAAGAGCTGGGTAAATATCATGGAATTTCAAAAGAGAGCATACTGTACTATTTCTTTTATTATAATTTGTCATCTTCACACCACCACACTTAACACCTTTCGGTGCGTTTCCCATCCTTGCCATTTTATTCTGGTTACCGCCAGACGACCTTATTCAGCTTAGGGTAACCTCCCGCAGCCAAAGGGTTTATGATTACCGGTAAAAATCTGCTTACTTTTGCCACAAAATTCTATCATTACAATATTATGTAAAAAAAAAAAAAGTCAAAGATATGCATTTTCCATACTAGTACTCCAGAAAGGGCATTATCATACATGTGTATTGAAGGTTTGGTTGGAAAATGTGAACTTGCAATTATTAACACAGGTGAAGTAATTGGCTAAGGTTTAAAAGTCTCTCCTTCATGACCATACCTGAAGCAAGAGGTCAAAATCTGCCAGCAGTACTTGTGCCTCTTGTAAATCAACTTCTTCCTCAACATTCTTCAAAAACCTCCCATCTGCATTTCCTGTTCAAATCATTATCATTATTAAGGCACAGTACTGTCCAGTGAAGTATGGGACATCTGTACATCCACATTGCCACAAGACTGGCCTGGGGATTATTTGGTAATTATACAGGATTCTGATTACATCAACATAGATAGAGATAAACAAGTAAATTAATAAGTAGATACAGGAAATGAAGAGATATCTACTGTACTGTATTCAGTAAAATTGTCACTCAAGTGCATATATTAGTTTAGCATCTACAGTCACCAACAAAAGTCCTGTTGCCTCTCCTCCTGCATATGGCTACATTCTGATTAGCTACCACATAACACCATTGCCCACTATCTGATAAAAGTTGGGTGGGGGTGGTGTATGGCGACATGGTAGGGGAGGGAAATTAGAGGGGGGTCTATGTGCTTGGGGTTGGCGAGGAGGAAATTTATGCCAATCCAGGGTTCAGACAACACCTCAGTATGCCCATGATTGGCTGTCTTCCAAACTTTACCTTTTGTTATTGGTTGCATTAAAGCCGACATTGCAAACTGTCAGGCAGCCATTACCATTGTACCACTAGTGCTTGCCATGTCCATAACTTTGCTGATTTTGATAAATAATATCATCCTTATATAATATTGGGATTAAAAATATCATGGATACCGGTAGCAACAAATTGTCTGACAAGAGATAACTGACAGAGTACAATCCACCTTGTGCGATAAGATTAGATAGTGGCAGTAGTAGTCACAAGGTAGTGTCAAGTATGGAGATGGGAATTTGAAGTACTGTATCAGACACAAATACTTGTGCCAGGGAGAGGGTAGGAGGATGTTCACTGACTTGTGAGGGATGGTGTAATCACTAGTACTACAGTGCAGTATGTTTCAGCATACTGTACTGAATCCCATTAGGACCTGGGGATTTTCCCCCAGCTGAATAAAACTGTCTTGTGTTTGCTTGAACAGAATCAGTAAAATGGTATAAGGGTCTCAATAGTTTTTTTTTTTTTTTTTTTTTAGAGGGATTAACCCACCCGGGCACAGGTCACCGACTCACATGAGGGTCTGGTGGACGAAAATGCAATAATAATAATAATAATAATAATAATAATAATAATAATAATAATAATAATAATAATAATAATAATAATAATAAAAATAATAATACAGTGGGGTATGCTATAACGAACGGATCCTACTACGAATATTCCTATAACGAACGGTTTTACCTATAAAATTGAGAATGCTATAACGAACGAAACTCCTACAACGAACATTATTTAAAAAAAAATTTTTTTAATTTATTGTTTTTTTATTACAAATATTAATGATATTCTTTATTTCAGGGGTTTAGATGCATATTTATGCACTTTTTTACAATTTTTACAATTTTATATTATATTTTTCAGTGTTAAGTGGTTGTATTTGGGGGCCTGGAACGGATTAATCCTATAACGAACGAATGCTATAACGAACAAGGTTCTAGAACCAATTAGATTCGTTATAGCATACCCCACTGTAATAATAATAATAATAATAATAATATTAATTCTGATACGTAAAAAAAAATATAAAATAATAAAATAATAATGATAACAATAATAATAATAATAATAAAGAACCATAAAGAAATACAACGATGAAAAAAGACCAAGAGTGAGAAACAATATACTGTATGTATGTTGTGTTGTCAATGGTAAGAGAAACAATTGAGACCCTGCAATTGTGTGTAAATGAGGCAGAAAGTCATATCAGCAACCTGGGACTTGGTCACAATTTTCGTGATGCCATATGGCAGCAGGGTCTACCATCAGAAAATACATTATGCTTCCAATATCTTCCCAGGTGGTAGTATCTCCCTGTTTGATAGCTGCCTACTACAGTACGATAATATGATGATGAGGTAGCCCTCACAATTTTACCTCCAAGACAGGGATCCCCCTCCCCATCTGATGTCACCCCACCTAGCAACCACCATCACCATCCAACAGATAGCTGACAGAAGGCAATGAAGTTACATTTGGGAATCTGACATAGGTGGCACGAAGATATTTGAGAAAGTAGCAAGTCAAGACGCTGTTGCATCAATGCAAAAAGACCTGCATGGTCTCAAGACTGGCAAATGCTCTTTAACATTACAAAATGCAAGACCCTAAATGTAGCATACAGAAACCCTAATCACAACTTTTCTGAAACTAACACTTTCCTGTATACTGTTGAGAAGGAGAAAGATACTGTATTGGCAGTGTGATAGATCATTCACTGAAGGCAGCACAACAGGTGGGACCGGCAGTGAGAAAAGCAAACCGAAATACAGTATGTGAATTATAAAGCATACATTCAAATGCGAAGAAAGGAAAATGTTCCTTCAACTGTAAAAATCTCATTTATGTCCCAGTCTGGATTACTGTACTGTACAGGGGAATACAATCATGGAAACTCTACCTCCAGAAAGACCTAATATTCCTAGAAAAGGTAATTCCAGAACTATGCCATCTTGCTTTTCCAATTAGACTGAGGGCCTCAGGACTAACAACTCTGCAGACAAGGCACACATGGGCAGATCTCATTGAAACATTCCAAATCCTGAAAGGGACTTTAAATGTGAACCTGAGCCAATTTTTTGTGATGTCACACGCCACCAACACAAGGGAACATAACAAGCTCGCTAAGTTATCATGCAGAACGAAAATAAGGAAATACTTCTTCATACAGAGGATTATAGACCTATGGAATGGTCTACCAGTCCAAGGTGTGGAATCAAGATCAGTACTCGGCTTCAAAATAGCCCTTGACAAAATTATTAAGAATAATGGAGAGAACCTACACAGGCCACTGGCCTCCTTCCCTTGGCATGGCCACCTATATAGGGTGGCCGTTAGGTAATAAACACGGTAAAATACTGTACTATGATGTATAAAAACACTTGGTTACCTTATTTCGGAAAATGCGCCAACCATTGTACCAGGTATAAGTACAGGCAATTGTATATAGATGGTGAAAGTAGTTATACAGATACCCTGTAATGGTAAACACTAAGTCGATTAAGGAATGCATACCGTACTTCAAGAAAGCCGTTATAAGCTTATTTCCATTAGAGGTTGATGATCTGACTTTTTGCCTCATTTACTCACAATTGCAGGGTCTCAATTGTTTCTCTTACCATTGACAATAGAACATACAGGTATATACGTATATTGTTTCTCACTTTTGATCTTTTTTAATTTTTTTATGGTTTATTATTATTATTATTACACTGTACAGTATTATAATTATTAGTGTTATCATTAGTATTAATATTATTATCATTATTATTTTATTATAATATACAGTATTTAATTGTGTATTTTTTATTATACAGTATAGTCTGGGTTTACACGGATATTTTATACGCGTTTGGCCATTTACACGGCACCTGTCCAGACGCGCCAATTATTAGTTACGCGGTACATTCCTTAATTTACGCGGCAAGCGGCTGGTCGCTGACGTCACCGCTGACATCAGACTCGTGCCAATGATGTCGCGGACTGTGATTGGGCCACGTATCCTTACCACCCACGCACCCCCTCCGCCGCGCACTGTGATTGGTCTATTTAACCTTGCTTGCCCAGTCAACAAAACATTACCGAGTTCTTCACCCGCCACAGCCAGCCCAAGTCAGTGATAGTGAGGATATGGACTTAGAGGGGTTTGACAAGGAGGCCCCGCTAGCCTCTGTGGTGGATAGTGATACAGGTGATACAGATGAGGGCCAATAATCTGCCCTCTGCCTCGGAACCAACCCCCCATCCCCGTGTGCCCAGCCATCTCTTCTACTAACGTAAGTGTTAAAAAACCTAATATTATTGATATTTCTCTTAAATATTAATTGTGTGTGCATACCATCATAAAATTAAGATGTTATTTTTACTACAAAGTATGTATTGTGTCGGCGATAGCCCCCAAAAGGGTAGTCTGGCGGTCGGCCCAGTCTCTATTTCAATTAATCCTATATGTTCTGTTATTTTATTTACGCGTTTCGCATTATACGCGGACCTCCATGGGTTTAATCGACCGCGTAAACCCAGACTATACTGTAATTTTATTTACTATGAATTATTATTATTATTATTATTATTATTATTATTATTATAATTATTATTATTACTACTCCTATTATTATTACATTTTCGCCCCCAGGCCGCAATGTGGGTCAGTGACCTGTGCCCAGGTGGGCTAATCCCTGGAAAAAAAAAAAATTTTAGTGTCGTATGGTCAGTTTTTCATTGTTTTACCTCACAATTTCCCTCATCTTCATACTCTGTCCACTAAAGGTGATTTATAATTAAAATAAAAAGTTTTATCATTTTTAGGTAAATATTCATCTACTGGCCATCCTCAGGATTTGGTACAACAATAGTGTTTTTTTTTTTTAGCATTTTTGCAAAAAAAAATTTTTCCATTTTTAACAGAAACTGCTAATTTGCACAAAAATGGAGGTCAGATTTGAGTAAAACACACATACACACACAAAAACTATTCTCATACCAAAGGAACCAACCTACCTAACCTGCAAGGAGGAGGAAACAAGCGACTCTTTAAGTGAGGAATATAGCCTCAGGTAAACATCGCAGGAACCTACGGACAGCCAATGGACGAATATTAAACCAATTTCATTACTGACTCTCACCCAAAGAACATTTGTGTTAAAAAAAAAAAAAAAAATTTGCTATATTATTACCATACATTCTGTTTAATAAGGCATGGGATTCACCCCCAGTTAGAAAGTTAGGTAAGGTTAGGTAGGTTTGTTTGGTTGGTTGGTTAGATCAGGTTCTATTAGGTTCTGTGCATTGTCGTATAATTTTTATTAGTACTTACTATGGTAATACTGAAGCAGATGGCAGTAATTATTAACAACACACCTGTTGCCGATTTTTCTTGGAATATGAATTTTAAAAAGCAGCAATTTCACTGTGTTTTACGGTGAACAGTGTTGTAGTTTGAGCAAATGTGTTAAAAAGTTTTTATTCCTAAATTAAACCTAACCTAACCTTAGTTGATAAGAAACACAAGCAGCCAAGGCGTTGTTAGAAGACTGCACCAACCTAACCAAAGAAACCTACTTAACCTTACCTAACTTCCCAGCTGGAAGGGCTCTACCCCCAGCATATTAAACTTACTATGAAATACAGTATTGCAATTTTACGTTTTTTGTGGACGTGAGAGCAGTCGCTCGTACACTGGCTTTGATCAGAGTGCGGCAGAGAGAGCAGAGGAGTGTTTACATCTGGTGATGCAGATCACCGCCGCATTACCACCAAGAAAACAAAGCAGTGCATCTCTTAAGAGTCTATTTACCTACCAAACGAATCACTTACCCAAGAAAAGAATACAATATCAGAATTCACTGCTGAAAATATATTAAGATAATGAGGTAAAATTTTTGTTTCAATTATCCCTAAACATGTATTTAGATATCCAAACTATGTTCAAAAAACACAAAAAACCATCAGAAAAACATAGTTTGAGGTTAATATATAGGACTAACCCATGGACGAGTTATTTGTATAACTGTTTATTTTCTTACTTTATTTTCATTAGTGAGTTCTGATATGGTAATCATTTCTTGTGCAAATTTTTGGTTTCGTAGATTGTTATCGCCGCTGGCTTATAAATGCTGGTGTCAGTTGTTGACGATTGCTGCCCCGAACAAACATTGGATCTCTCAGCGCCCCCCCCTCCCCCCCACGCAGCCTGTTGCCTCGTGAGATGTGACGGCTGGAGAGGGGAGGGTGTTTACGGATAGAGTTCCTGATTCTGCTGAATGTAAGGGTGACGTGGCTCTCATGACACAGATCGCCCTCACGAGTGATGCCCCCACGCGACCTGTGACCTCCCCAGATGCGGCGGGGGTGGGCGGTGTTTACCGCCGGCGTCAGTGCTGGCATCCCGGGAGTGTTATCACCGCTGGCGTCAGTACTGGCAAGTGAGTATTGGCGTGTGAGTGCTGGCGTTTGCTGCCCTACCCGAACAAAGATTAGGGGGTGGGCAGTGACCAGCCCTCTAGTGATACTGCAAGGAGCAGCCTTCTGCTCGCACTGACAAACACCATAAAATCCTGTCCAAGAATTTTTGCTGAGACAATTTACACAGTACTGTTGTCTCTTGGAACACTATACTGATCTGCATTGACCCGCACTTGTAAGTACAGCATAAGTGAAGACATGCCCCTCGGTACTGAAATATTGTTGACTAATTACGTCTACTCGTTTCTGCCTAACTTGGAGTAATAAGACAATGCAGGAAAAAGCAAAGCTAAGATTAATAGAGTTATGAACTTTGTATCATGTCACTATGCTCAATAATCAATTATAATTAAGACAAATTTTTGTGAGACGAACTAATTATGTATCATATAGATCACCATGTAATACTAATGAACGCCTTGTTCTCTGCAGGTTTTGATCACATCAATAAATATTGAATGCGTCAACAGGCGAGTTTCAATCATTCCCTTTGACTTGCCCGTCACCTGAACGTCTTTATTCCCAAGGCGTTTATATAGATAAATAGGCACCTTGACACACACTTATTTGTCTTCCCATCGGTAATGAGGCTGCGCTCTACTGCAGCACTTTTCCCTGGGCTTGCGGCAGTTTCATTTTCAGCATGACGTGTGAAGGTTGTAGCCGGTCTCATATGGATGTAATTTGGAAATTTAGGGATAAAGACAATGTTCCTTTAAGTAGAAAATATTGTACACAGCAAAATACTGTGAAATAGAACTGGGTTTGTGTGCTAAGTCAGTTGTCGTTTGGGGTAATTATATAGGACTAACCCGCAGACGAAAATGATTGAAAACAATTATAAAAACGCCAGATTTTCATTGTTATATTATAGTGAACACTGTTGTAGTTTGTGTGTTGTAGTTTGTGGAAAGATGTTAAGAAACAGATATTTTTAAAATAAACACTACTTAACATTTGTGGTTATGAAGAACAGACCTAACCAACCAAACCAAACAAACCTGCCTAAATTTATCTAACTTCCCCGGTAAATTAAACAGAAAGAACTTACTATGATATGGTGAAATTTGAGGCATTTGGACGTGAGAAGATATGGCCGCATCGGCACTATGCATCCCGGCGGGTTAGTCCTATATATTAACTGTTGTTTGGAAACAATCATCCATCACTTCATCGATGCTGTGGCTCGCGTTTCCCGCATCTCAATAACAAATCATTCCGCTGCCCGGGCTCAGTAACCACCGATACATCTCACATCCATAAAATGCCTAAAATTTCAAAATATCAAAGTAAGTTCTTTCTGTTTCCTATACCGGGGTGGTCCGGGAGGCCGTGAGAATGTTAGGTAAGGTTAGGTAGGTTTATTAGGTTAGGTCTGTTCTTCATGCCCACAAATATTAAATAACGTTTATTTTAAAAATAAATTTTTGTTAGCACATTTGCGCAAACTAAAAGTGTCCACTATAAAATAACAGTGAAAGTCTGGCGGTTTTATTATTGTTTTCAATCAATTTCGGCTGCGGGTTAGTCCTCTATAATTAACAACCTACCTAACATTATCTAACTTCCCCGGTATATTAAACAGAAAGAAATTACTCTGATATGGTGAAATAAAAGCCCTGGCTGGTTAGTTCTATATATTAACCCGGGGCGGTAATTTATCCAGCCATTAAATAAAAAAATAAAAAAAACGTAGTGGAGGGGTAATATGATTCATTAATATCCTCTTACAAGTAGTATGTCATTCACTAATAAATATATATTAAAAGTCACTTACCGGGGAGCTTAACTTCCACTACTTCAACATGAGGTAGTTTTAGTCTCAACAGGTGTGAGAGGCGAGGAATGACGGATAAGACGTGTATGGTGGAGGTCCTGCCAGCTGCCGCCATCATCATGGTTGTCTTTAAAATTAACACTAATAAAATAAATCAATTATTAGGTGTGTGACTTTGGGGGGAAAAATATTGAAAAACTTAAATTGTCAACATATAAACGAATTTTAAAGTAATAAGGTATTTTCAAGGTACTGTGAGTCTACCAGCTGTTCTTGTCTTAATAACAAAATAAACATAAATAATTTTGAACACTTGCATGAAATGTAATTTTACAGTAATAAAAATAATTATCAGCAACTGTATGATTTTCAGACTAATCAATTTTAAATTATTTTAAAGGTAATGCGAGTCTACTTTATTCCTTTTATCCACTTCGCCACTGATCGGCTACTTTTATACGTATTATGTTGTCAATGAAATAAAACATGTAATTAAGGTCTTAAACATACACACCGATGTGAGGGACTTCTTATGGTAACAGACAGAGGGAGAGCACTGCTAGAACTGGCACTGAGATGGACGTGCAGCACGTTGCCAGATGCTCCTCCCCAAAACAGGACAACCTCTCCGTACACAAAAAAAAGGACAGTTAAGGGGGAAAAGGGACAACTACCAGCACAAGTTTGTGGAATTACTAAAAAAGAGAAATCATATTATTTTTGGTTGCATAAATTGGAGTAGATTTGTCAAGATCGCGTAACCTTTTTTCAAGGACAGTGCTCAGCGTTGGCACGCTGAGCTTTATTGGCTGATTCCCCCAACGTAGTTTTATCCTCAAATTAGGTAGTTGATATTAGGCAGCTACCAAACAGGGAGGTACTGTAGCGTACTGTATGTGGCCAGTTGTCAATTCTCTTTAGTTGTCTATTTTCTCTTTGTATGGGCACACAAACGTACGTACATGTAGATATTGTAGTGGATTTCTCCCCTACAAACGCTGTTTGTCGCTGAGTAGCCGACCCCACGAATTCCCCAGTGTATGCCTCGTGGTCTAGGTCAACCAGCGCCGCCCACGGAGCGGGGGTCAACTACTAAGCCACGCCAACCTCCGCTATTTAAGACCTGACCTCGTAGTATTCTCTCTCTTTCTACCTCCACCAACCAGCCAGCAACACCTCCTCCTCCTCCGCCTGCCTGGCGGTCCTCGCTCCCGCCGGCAGCATGGCGACCCACAAGCTGGTCCTCCTCTGAGCATCCTCACCAACCAGCTCTCTCTACATCACGCTTGTAACCATGCTGCCTTCCCAGCACCAAGCTACATTGTACATCCAATACAACATGTATACAGAGAGCACATTGTGAGTTTCCTTTCCCCATCCCATCCTGAGTGTGAACCAAACATCCATACCCCACAATATCTCACACTCAGGAATGAGGTAGAATAGAAACTCACAATGCGCTTCCTGTATATATATTGTACAGTGCAGTGCTTAGGAGTGACTAGGTGAGGAGTAGCTTGCTGAGAGGTCCTGTAGGGCGAGGAGGTTTCTGAGGAAGCTGGGTGGTGAGGAGCTGTTGAGAGATGTTGCTGGTGCGGTAGCCGAGTGTAGAATGAGTTCCCCGGTTGTTGTTGTTGAGATTGTCAGGCCGTAGTCCGACACGGGCCTTTGGTTCCGGCTGCAGCTCCTAGAGCAGCCAGACCGGATTGGGATTGGAGGTTGTCCTACCTGCAGATATGGAAGGATACTGCAGGTTGCAAGTGTGAGCGGACCCCGATCAGTAGACGCTTACCACCAAACCCCACTCTTGGACGTGGTCAGTTTCGGAGTGGTGGGCCCCCGAACTGGGGTCCGCACTTGCTGGGAGAGGATACTTTCTAAGCTATCTGGGTGGTGGGTATCGTGTGATGACCCGGAGAAGGTGGTGAATGTGGTCTGTTTGGGCCTTTCGGGTTAGAGTGGCCGCTGGTGTTGTGTGTGCTTCTTGGAAGTTTTGAGTTCTGTTTCGGAGGCTTTGTGTGACTTCGCAGTCGAGGAGATAGTGTTCAAGTGGGTTGGCTGCTGGCTCTTGACAGTAGGTGCATTCCATGACGTCATGGAAGGCTGACTTGGGTTTGTCTTGGTGTTTTCTTGTCCGCGAAAGGTGGTTCCCCTTTTGTAGCCGCCAGGTACCATTTGGCTGATTGGGAACCAGCGTTGAATGCGTGAAGGAAGCTCTTTTGGATGTGGAGCTTGCTAGTCTTTCTGAGGTGATTCTTGATCTGTTGCACACTTGCTGGAACTTGAATGTGTACGCTACTAGAACGGGTGGCTGCCTTGGCTGCTTCATCTGCCACGTCGTTTCCCCCGATCCCTACATGACTGGGAATCCAGTGTAAGACGACTGGGAGGTTTTGTCTTTGGAATTCCTGTAGCTGTGCGAGGATCGAGGTCATGATGTGGATGTTGTCTCTTGGTTGACTGTATTGCAGCGCCTGCATGGCCGATTTCGAGTCCATGTGAATTATGATGGACTTGTTGTGTTGTGTTGCAGCGTGTTGTAGGGCCTTTGAGATTGCTACCAGCTCTGTTTGTAGGATGGAACAGTCATTAAAGTCTCCATCAGAGGGTCTGACCTTGGGTGTAGAAGGCCTCTCCGGATGTATGATGTTTTGGATCCACCGAGCCGTCTGTGAAGTATGATGCTGCATCAGCCGGTGTCTCGGTGGCTATGGCTTCCAGAGTTATTTTTTTGAGGTCCTCCTTCTGGAGGTTGGCTTTGCTATCACCTAGGTCGGTAATTTTGAATGTGGCGGGTGGAGGGCTCCATGGTGGAGGAACTACGTAACCATTGTCTCGTGTGTCTTGGTTGTTCTTGACGAGTGTTTCTGCTTGCAGATGTCGGATGACCTCGCTTGCCTCGTGCGACCAGGTGGCCCCTCGCTCTCTGTGGTCGAGGTGGAGGGAGGCACTGATTCGCGTTTTGGCAGCTGTGGGCTTATCTGATCTACAGATTTTGGCGAGGAGACCGGCTGTCACTTGCTTGACTCGTACTGCTAGGGGTGGTAGTTCAGTTTTCATTTGCAAATTGCAAATTCTGGTCCACAAGGGTGCTCCGAGCATGGTCCTGAGAGCATTATTTTGGATGACTTCTAGCTTAGCTATCTGGTCTTCTCTCAGTCCAATGAGTGCTGGAGCACTGTAATTTACCAGCGATCTGATGGCGGCCGTGTAGTAGGCTTTGAGCACATGAAAGTTTGCTCCTGCGGTTGTGCTGGTGACCGACCGCATTATATTGTGCCTACTCTTCGTCCTGTGCCTGAGATACTCGAGTTGTGGCTTGAAAGTGAATTTCTGGTCAAACCAGATTCCAAGACACTGGTGGGTGTGAGTCCAGACTACCGGCGTATTTTGTATGGAGAGCAAATTGTCTGGTGTGTCTGTGCAGATAGCCATCGCTTTCGACTCGGCTGGATTTATCTTGAGTCCAAGTCTGTTGCACCCCTCTTCTATAAGTTGGAGTGCGTGTTGCGTGTTGGCTAGCCTGTTTGATCCTCTTACTATAAGCTGTAAGTCGTCTGCATAGCATAGGAGCTTGGCTGTTTGTCTCAAAGAAAGTTTGACAAGATTTTCCATCAGGACATTGAACAGCATTGGACTGAGGATGCCTCCTTGTGGGGTTCCGTTTTCATAGACCCTGTAGCTTGAGGTTGCTCCCTGAAAGCGTACTCTTGCTTCTCTCTGTGTGAGGTAGTTCTGGATCCACCCCAGCAACCTTCCTTTGACGTCTTTTTCAATGAGCGTCGTTATAATGGCCAGTGGATTTGCTAGTTCGAAGGCCTTCTCCAGGTCGAGGAAGACCACCAGAGCTGGTTTGTAGTCCACTGTGCTGAGTATCTCGGCGATGTTATTGCCTGTGCTGGTGTTCTCGGTGTAAGCAAAAATGTGAGGGTGTGGGCTGCCTACTTTCCACTTGAGTCGGTTGAGAGCCATTTTTTCTCCCGTCTTCGCTATGCAGCTGAGAAGGGAGATGGGTCTCGGTTTGTCTGGTTCTCTGGGCTTCGGAATGGGCTGTATATCTGCCTTCTTCCATTCCGGTGGAAGTCTTTGTGCTGTCCACGAAGCATTGATGACTTGTAGCAAAGCCTCGTGTCCGGCTTTTCCGGCATGGGAAAGCATGGAGTAGGTTATCCTGTCGGCCCCTGGTGCTGTGTCCTTGCTTCGTTTTAGCGACTTCTGGAGTTCTTGCTGGTTGAAAGGTCTGTCGGTGTCATCTTCACTGTTGCAGGCATCTTCGATCATCTGGAGTCTGACCTGTCGCAGACGCCGTTGTGTCTCCTCTGCCTGTCTCGGGAGGTTTTTCGTTGCTGCTCGGTCGGAGAACAGTTTTGCAAGTCTCTCGGCTTCCTCTTCTGGGTTGGAATGGGTTGGTGGTGGTGGTGTTGCCTTCCCAGATGCCCTTCGGATCTGGGCCCACATCTTGCCAAGGGAGGTGTGCTCGTTCGGTTCGGAGCACCACTTGAGCCAGCTTACGTTTTTTATTTCTTCCTTCTCTTCCCTGGTATCCTTAACTATGACTTGCAGGAGATGTCTGTTTGTTTCCGTGGGATGTCTCCTGTAGTTTCTTCGTGCCATGTTCACCCTGGGACAGTAGTACCAGTAATCATTGTACAGTCTTGATGTGGGTTTTGTTTTAGGGATAGCCTCTTGTGCCGCTTGTTGAAACGCCTCGACCAACTGTTGGTGGAGGGTTGTCTCGTCCAAGGGGGGTGCTGCGCCGGCCGGCTGTGATTTTTCGCGCCACTTAGCCAGGTGTTTCTTAAAGAGTCCCCAGTCTACCTTTTGGGTATTGTATCTCCATCTCGGCAGGGATGGAGTGGGGAGTTTGTTCACCTTCAGTGTTGTTAGGGTGGCGAAGTGGTCGCTGGTCAGCGTGGGGTGTAACTGCCAGGAGGCCGAAGGCTGTAGTGCACTGGAGACGAAGGTTAGATCTAGCCTTCCTCCCCTAATGTGGGTGGGCTCTCCGGTGTTCAGGAGGCAGATCTCGGGTGTGTCTTGAAAGGTGGTGTATACTGTAGGTGTAGGCCGTCTTCATTTGTGGGGCTTACCGAGCTTAAGAAGGGATGATGTGCGTTGAAATCCCCTCCTATGAGGGTGGCGTGGTCAGCGGCTGAAGTGAATAATTGAGTCACCTCCAGTGAGCCCCTTGGGTTCTTGTAGATGTTGTGAACAGTTAATTCCCGTTCTTGGAGGGTTACTTTGACGGCCTGTGTCTCGATGTTTTCCCCACATGGAAATTGCTGCATGACCTCGGAGGAGGGTATGCTTGACTTGAACAAGATCATACATCCTCTTGTTGACGCGTGCTTGAAATGCCTCCTGTATGTCTTGTAACCACTGAATTTGAAACAGTGGTGTTCTTGTAGAAGTGTTTCTTGTAGCAGTATAATGTCAAGCTTGTCTTTGGCTGCTGCTTCTTGCAGGAGGTGTTTCTTGTTTTTTATGCCCTGAGCATTCCATGTAAGGATGTTCAGGGTGCTGATGTTTTCCACCACTGTTTCATCGGGGACTTCTGGTGGTCCTCGATGGAAATGTTCAGGTCCGATTCCGACTGGTTCAGGTTCATATCTTCCTGTTCTGTGGTTT